CCTGGACAACTTGGCAAGACCATGAGTCAATAAATAAAGCAGAAGGAAGGCTGAGGACACAGCTTGGTGCAAAGGTCCCGAGTTCAACTGCCAATACCTCAATCATTCAGTCAATCAATCAACCATTAAAGGATTCAGCTCAAATTTTGTTGCCCTTTTGAGAAGACCCCTATGACTATCCTTAATTATGTTAGGATCCCCTCTATGTCCCAGAGCATTTCCTGTCACAGGCATTTCCTGACTCACAACACCCAGTGATCTGCTTTCTGTCTGCCTCTCCTATTAGACACTGGGTCCCGGCTTGAGTAGGCACTCACACTCAAGATCCCCAGAGCCAGGCACTGTGCCCGACACACAAGGAGGCCTTTGAGGAAGGGCTGCCATGAGAAAGAAGGAAGGGGCTCATAGAGAGAGGAAGCAAAGAAGCTGAGAGGAAGGAAGGGAAGAGGAAGGAAGGGAGAGAGGGAAGAAGGGAGACGGGGAGGGACAAAGAGGGAAGGAGCTGAGAAAATAAAGGAGGGAGAATAAGAACAGAACAGAGGAGAACAGAAATGTCCTTGGTGTGTTTAACAAGTCATGCACATACAACAAGGCATTACTAGATAAACAAAATCCCAAATCCAATCTGAATGAAGACCTAAGAAAATGGAGAAGAATGTAGATGTGCTCTTAAGTTACTTTAGGCTGGTGATGCTGAGCCTTTTAGAGCTGTCAATGATTCCACAGATGAGGAAACAGATTCAGAGGCAGGCACATGCATCCAAGTAGCACAGGGGAGAAATGGCAGAGCGGAGACTGAGACACTATTGCCTTCCTGCGCCCTTGGTCACAGCTGAGCCTGTGCTCGGATGGGACCTGCCAGCTGACCTCACCAGCAGAGTGTCAGCCACAACTTGACATCATGAATTCGTTTTCAAGTTCTGGTGAATTCAGTGGCAGGAACAGGTTCCAGAGCCATGTCCACTAGCTCTGAGCTTCAGCTCCACCCTCTGAGGGATCTATGACCACAGAGCTGGTGCCTGTGTGCCCATGGTAAGCATGGGTGACCACATGGAAGAGCTGCTGAGATGTCCTGAGGAACCCTAAGAAGCTAAGCTCCACTCCACAGACAGCCATGGGCTCTTCCTGCCTCCACTCCACATCCTGGCAGGAATGTCCTGCCACTGTCCTCCAGTCAGTCCTGGCTGAATTGCAGACTTGGGCTTCTGACTGGGCAGCCTGAGCCACAGTCCTGGCTCTACTACGCACACAAATGTGAATTTGGACAAATGAGGCTTTCCGCTCTGAGGCTCAGTTTTCTCATTTCTAAAATATGAATAATGAAGGGCCAGCGAGACAGCTCAGCAGACTAAGCACCTGCTTAGGCAAGCACAGGGACCCAGGTTCAATCCCTGGTACCACATGCCACTCCAGCTCCAGCCCTGGATGCACTGTGCCAGTGACCAGGTCCGGGCATGGTGGTAGATGCCTGTAATCCCAGTGCTGAGGAGGCTGAAAACAGAAGGATCACTATGAGTGAGACCCTGTACCAAATATATATATATATAGTATTGATATATATATGAATAATGCTACCTACTCCATAGAATTTTTGTAATGATTAAATAACATTCTGCATGTCAAATGTTTAGCTTGCAATAAGGGCTCAGAATATACTAATCACTTCTCTTGAGTAATAGTAACAGCTATAGTAGTTTCTGACTGCCTGCAGATTGAAGTCCAAACTCCTTGGCCCAGCACACTTGGCTTTTACTGTTCCTTCTCATCCCTTCCTATCCTCCTCTGCTGCTCCTCTGCATGGATCCCACACTGAAGCCCAAAATAGCCTCCTGCCCTCTGCCTCCCCACCCGTGACCTCCCGATCCATTCAGGATGCCCTCCCACACCTCGCACCTGTCGGCACTGCCTCATTTCCCCCGAGCCGCAGTCCCCTGTTGCTCTGGAATTCCACAGCATTTGCACAGGTGTAGCACTGCAGTTTCCTCACCACACCACTCTTCTTCCAGTCATTGCCCTCCATATACCTGTGTGGGAAGTGACCTTTCTCCACTACTTCAGAAGGGCACCTGGCTCAGACCTTAGACCACATCCCCATGACATATTCAGAGCAGACCCTGGGCAGCTGGGTGCAGTTTCAGATATCTACCATCCCAGCATTCCAGGGTTCAGGCCAGAGGATAACAAGTTTGAGTCCCGCCTGGGCAACTGAATAAGACCTTACCTCAACAAGCAAAAAGTGCTTGTGATGCAGCTCAGTGTGCAGGCCATGAGTTCAATCCCTAGCACACACAAAAAAGTAGGCATTTGGTAGATGCTGGCCAACATTCCAACTTCTTTGGAATTGTGCTTTTTCCACAGGCACTGCTGCGTCCAGAGCTGCCAGTTTCTTTTCACCATCAAGAAGGAAATAGACTTAACATGAGTGAACAAGTGGAATCAAAAACAGATCCAGGCAGCTTCTGCATGACATGATTTGAGCACTTGGATCTCTCCATACCTGTGGCCTCACACTGGGCCTTCAAATTACATGAATCAAAAAAACTCTACCTTGTATTTTATTGTCATTTACTTAAGCCAGTTTGCACTGACTTTCCCACTTGTCACTGGAAGATTGCTAATCAACACACTGACCCAGCTAGATGGTCAGTTCATCTTCTGTATGTCAGCACTGCAGTGTCCACCACTGGGATGACCACTGAACAGTGAGAAATAAACAAAGAAATAATATCTCTCTATATTTTCCCAGTGCTCCAGTATTCTGCACTCAAATACCTAAATAAAAGTTCACAAAAACAAGAAAAACATGGCAGGCATTTGAGCTCTCACAAGACACACATGAAGCCCTTGCTTCATGTTCCTTGGACAATGGCGCTTACCTTCTCATGTAATGGATGTGGAGAAAGAATGGTGTGAAGAGCGCACAAGGCTCAGAAGGGCACTTCCAGTCAACTAGTCCAACCCCAGAGACCCCTACTGCACAGACGGGAAAACAGAATTTTATTAAAAAGCCTCACTACTGAATGGTGAGACATGGGAGGAATGAGTGGTGATTCTCACCTTAGTGCCATGTACTCTGTCCTATGCCACTTTAGTAAGCAAAGTAAGTCAGGCACTAAGCCAGAAAACCCAGTGATCTCTAAGCAAAATAAACTGTTCAACTCTGCCCCTCAAAACTTCAGGGCAGGGGAAACAACTCAAGAGAAAGTGCTTCAGGCTGAGGTCAGGAAACGTGTGCCTTTGATTCGATTCCACCCCTTCCTGACTGTGTGAGGTTCACTGGTCCTTCACTCTCTATACTGTTTCCTCTCTTGCAGTAGGACAAAGAGAAGGCATAACCTGAAGGAAATGATGGCTAAAGTCTGAAATTCAATGATTACATGGGAGTTATTGGACAGTTCATCAAATCCCTAAGATTAAATCCACAAGGATTATGGAGAATTTGAAGGCCAAGAGGTCAGCAACTCATCTGCAGACTCCAAATGGAGGCTGATTAACTAGAGGCTCCAGCTGAGAATATCTTTCCAGCTGGACTTCAGATGACAAATAGAATGGAAACAAACACTATCATCTTTCTGGATATCACAGAGAAAGGTGAAGAGAGACAAACCTCACATGCTACAATCCTATTCCCTTCAAAGAATCTTAAAGATCCACACAGAAGTGAAGTGGGGTGGGATGGATTCCCAACATGCCATTAGCACGTCCACATATTCACCCATACTGCCCTATTTAAGGAGTCCTTTCAGGAGTCTGAATCCTTCTTCCAGTGGGGCAGGGGATTCCTTTGACAGGTGTAAAAGTCCCCTTGGGTAAGCACATCAGGCTCATTACCTTGACTTTCATTACAAGCGACAGTTCTGGGTCTCATTTTTACCCACATTCATGACACTTGACCCCAGTGTCATCCTATCATTTCCAAAGATGTCAGCTTTCCCTCAATGGGGGTGACTAAGAGGATCCACTCCATGCTCCAGAGCCAGCTCCCTGCAATGCTCTGAGAGTGGAATGACCAGCAAGTGATGTAGTGCCTCCTCCAGGGGTCTCCTTTGGAAAGCTCAACACTTGTGGAATGTTTTGAGGTATTAATTGCAAAAGATGCCTCTGATGCCTGACTGTCCCATTTTTCCTCTTTCCCATCCCTGGACTGCTCCAGACTCTTTCCTACTCTTCACCATCTTGCCATCCCCTGGACCCACTTTCCCAGTCCAATTCCCTTCCCTGCCTACAACTCTCAAATGCCCAAATTGCTGAGTCCTCAAAATCTGTTTCTGATGGAATAGTGGGTGGGGGCAGGGGATGCTAATGGATCCTGGAAACCTGCCTCAGCATTTCTCACTCCCAATGGCCTTTCACTGATTCTCAGAGCAGGAAGACTGTCTAGGCTAGACATTTCGGAACATTTCAGGAACCCATACACACAGGGCATAGTATTTTGTATGTGGGGGAAGGATGAAAGGGTAGAGACCTGCTCTGTAAAGTCCCCATCACCAGGGGCTACCAAACCACCCAATCTTAAAAAGAGACCCATCCCCCACATTACAATACTTTAAAGTTTACCAGATCCTCTTTCCTTTGTCCTCTGCAATCCTTTCCCATTTTACTGATGAGGAGACCAGACCATAGAGAAGTAAAGTGAAACACCCAAGTTGACAATGTCAGTGAGTTAAAGATCCAAGGCAGATCTTGATTCCCATGCATTTTCCTATGTAACAGAAATTAATTTTACATGGTTTCCCTTTATTCACAATACATCTCCATAAACACGGCCAACAGAGACCGGTGTAGATGCTAACATAATACTAACCCACCAGCAAATGCAGTCTACGCACGGGCCCAGATACCCAATTTCAAGGTACTGTGCCTAGCTCCAAACTGTCTCTCACACAGTCTCCTCCCAGAAGCTGATGAGGGTCGCCAGAAAAGTGATCTGAGCTCAGAAGAGCAGCACCTCTCTGCCTCCTCCAGGAAGGAGCCCCTAAACCCCAGCTTTTGACCCTTACCTGCCAAGAGCTGCATCCAGGCGCAGATCTTATAGACCGTGGCGGTGTTGCAGAAGAAGAAGAGCGCAAAGCAGGTGATGCAGCCGAGGATCAGCACCATGGAGAGCAGCACGAAGAAGGCGGCCGCCTTGAAGGCGCCGGACGGGATGGTGCTGAAGTCGGTGAAGGAGCCCCGGCAGGTGAGCTCGCGGCCCGCCAGCCCACTGCCCACGCAGTAGTGGAAGAGGCCGAAGTAGCCAGGTTTGGGGGTGCTCACGCTGTCGCCCACCCAGTAGGGCTGGATGAAGACCACCACGTTGATGATGGCGAAGCAGATGGTGAAGATGGCCCACAGCACGCCGATGGCCCGAGAGTTCCGCATGTAGTGTTCGTGGTAGAGCTTGGAGGCCTCCTGCGAGGGCAGCATGGTGCCGGGGGCGGGACCAGCCGCCGGCCGCGGCGCGAGCTGGGGACGCACGAGAGGAGAGGCCGAGTCAGGCCGCGAGGCGGGGCCGGGGAAGGGGCCGGGCGGGGGGCTGGGGA